ATTTTTTCTCTTACATAATTGAATCCAATTATCTAAATTGGATATTTCTTTTTTATTTGTAAATTGTGAAAATTTTAATTTATTGTTATAAATTTGTTATTGTGAATAGCAGAATAGGAAATGGAATTCATTTATTTGTTTTGTAAGATTGTGATTTGTGAATATGTTAATATAATTAGGTTATGTTTTAAGTTTATAATGCTTTTAATTATTTAAATTTCAATATAGGATGAAAAGGTATTTTAAAAAGGCGCCAAGATTTAAAAGGAAAGAATCGAGTGAGAATCCTTCAAATTTGAACGCAAATGCTTCGTCATCTTTAAATCATCCACCGGAAACACCAAATTTGAATTCAAATGTTTCATCATCTTTAAATCATCTCGTGGAACCATCAAATTTGAATCCAAATATATCATCTTTAGATTTTGAATCATTAGAGGCTGATCCGGGACTAAGAAAGAGAATTATAGATTTGCATCCAAATGTGCAAGATGAAATTCGTTGTTCTTATTTGAAAAAGGGTCCTTTTACATTTGCAATGTAGAACTATTTTTAATTAGTATTTTTAATAATATATATAAACTTTAATGTTATGTATTATAGAATACTATTTATTTACTGTTAGAAGCGTGATGGTTGAATATAAATTTTCTAAATTATGATCCCATGGTTCAAATGTTCTAGGTCCGCCCCTGCTCATCGGGTAGATCTGGTAAAAAATGTTTCCTTAACAACATATTATTTGTCAACTAATATCATATGTATAAAAAGTTTTGAACAAATAGATGTTGCCGTAAAAAATTAGATGAAATCATTTATCATTTATATATAATATTTGGGAGTTAAACTCCCAGAAATTCGACATGTGGCATGCTACTTGACAAATTTTTTTACACATCATCAGCCACATTTGATGACTTAAGTGACTTGGCAATTTTAACTTAAAGTATGAAAACATCTTATTAGAGCAAATATTCATTCCCAATTATTGCACATATGAAAAACTTTTGCGAGATATATGTAAAGTAATTATAATTAGGAGGTTATAAATGTTAATTATAAAAAACTTTCAATTAATTGCTAATGACATTTATTGGCTAATCCTTCCTTTTATTATAAAATTTGAGACTCTGGCTTACATGATATTGGCATGTCACGAGCTAATATGACATTTTTAATAAATCATCTGTTGTCTATTTATTATTTTAATGAGTTGGTAATTTTAATCAACATACAGAGAACTGATTTGACATTAATTTATTTTATTTTTTATTGATTGAACATAGTGACTAAATTATTTGTCTTTTTAGTTTCATGCAGTTAATCTTAAGAATTAGTAACTCTATTGTTTTTAACACCCGGTTCATTTTTCGAATGAGATATGTTTGACCAATGAAATTTTTTATCAAACATATTTTTTATTTTGAGATTATAGTCTAATTTTTAATATTTCAATTCATTATATATTTATATAAATAATTATTCAAACATTTGACAACAAAGCAAACTGAGACAGTTAATGAATAAATTTTTTAGAATTATTTAAAAATATCAATTTATTTACCATATATACGTATGGGAGGTTAAAGAACACTTTCTATTTTTGGATTTAGAATCACTTCCTCTGTCCCTTTAAGATCTTCTCATTTTGACTTTTTGTGGTTTTAAGGAGAGTTGAAAAAATGTTAAAGTTTACCATAATACCCTTAATGAAAATGGGTGGAGTGGGAATAGTTGTGGTATATATTTTAATTGTTAAAAAAGGTAATGAGAAGATTTATGGTGGACAAATAAAAAGGATTAATGAGAAGATCTATGAGAGACGGATGGAGTATATTTTTGCATAAAAAAATGATTTAGATTCATCCATTTTTATGAAATAATTAATTATGCACCTACTTCTCTGAATGAATTTTATTAATTTTATATTTAGGTTAGTGGTCTTATGCTAAACAAAAAGAATGGGTTTGGTTGCTACATATCTTTATCTTTATATATTAAATTTAAGAGTTAAACTCATAGGATTACAATAAGTGGTGAGTCTACATTGCAACATTTTAACAAATCATCCGCCACCTATACGGATTACGAAGTGCCACTATAATTATTTGGGGAAAAAACTAAAATAAGATTAGAATATGGAGAAAGTGCCAAAATATGAGTTCCATATTTTTTATCTCCAAAATATTGACTACAATACCAATATTTTATTATATAGTGCTAAAAACATTATGAAATGGTAATATACATTGCCACAACGTCACTGTGTAAACTTTATTTAGGAAATAAAAATATTGAACTCTTATTCTGGGCATAAGATTTATGTCTTACTTCTATTTGAATGATTTTTTTAGTTTTGTTTAGGAAATATGTACAAAGTAATATATATGGAGTAGTAACTACCAAAAGTTTCCTTCTACACTTATATTACCTTATATATCTTTTTTATTTTACAAAATCATCATCTTCAACTTCTTGGGAACCTCTTTGCATATCTTTCTTTTTTTCTTCTATAGTGTAGATAGGTGAAATTGTGAAAACTATTGTGTAATTGATGATGTACTCACACTTCATTTGGTAAGTTTAAGGGAGGGCATCATTAGTAGTCTATTTAAAAAGGAAATTGATAGCATTATTTTTTGGTGAATTATATTATTTTCCATATTCTTTGCGGAGCTTACGAGAACAGATTTCCAATTTTGTTGATCGGAACTCCAAAATTTATTATTTAGCTACTAAATATGAAGAGATTCCTTTTTTCTATATAACAAGGTTAAAATATACAAAATTTGACCAAGAAAAGTCAAATGCAAATATTAAATCCGAATGGAGACTAATAAGATCGAGACTAAGTTACAAGTTACAACCACATCAAAGAGAAATATAATTTCATATTTATAATTATTTCTATTTTAATAAAACATTTTGTATATTGACGAGAATACTATCAAGGGCTTGAATGATTTTGCATTATAAAAGTGAAAAAGAAAAGTTTACATATGATCTTATGAGACACTTATCTACGATGAATGAATATCAGCACAATATATACGATGAGATAATGGAAGTTGTGACACCTAAAAGAGGAGGTTTCTTTTTTATGTATGGTTACAGTGGAACTGAAAAAATATTTTTTTATATAGAAATCAGTTTATTTCTCTAATGTCAAATGATAAGATTGTCTTGAATGTCACATCCAGTTGTATTGCAGCATTATTTTTTCATGGGGGAAGGACATGGGTGAATGACATTTCACTTGAGATTCTCAATCTCTTTGGGCAATTGCATAACATGTTCCATCAAACAAGAGAGTCCGAAAGCAGAACTAATCCAACAAGTAAGTCTAATAATATGGGATGGAGCATGCATGATGAATAGATTTATTTTTAAGGTGCTGGATCACAAAATGAGAGATATAATGAATTTCGCTAATAAAAACTCTTGAAATGAACAATTTGGAGGGGAAATAGTTGAATTCGGAGGGGAAAAAGTAGGACTCGAAAGGAAAATAGTTGTATTCAGAGGTGATTTTTGGCAAACTCTTCCTGTTTTACCCAAAACTTCAAGAGAGAAAATTGTGAGTGCTATCATCTATTCTTTAAAATTATGGTCGTATTTTAAAATTTATATGTTAGCGAAGAATATGATATTACATTCTTCTACGTCCTCTATCCCAGATAGGAACACACAAATTTTTTCTGATTGGATAATTAAAGTTAGAGATGAAAAACTTAGACAAGTGATTGATGAAACAACTGACCTTAAAATTCCGCATAAATTATTAATTCTAGACACAAGTTATTTTGTGAAGAGTATAGTGGACTTCACTTATCCTAATTGAACCTATTGGAGAGTATGAAAATTTATTCATTTTTTAGGATAGGGGCACTACTGGACCATGCTTGAGGTTGTAGAGATGGTAAATGAATTTGTCATATCCCTCATTCCCTAATATGAAATGGTGTGCCTGAGTTTTGATTTTTCATGTCATGCCGATTCAGATGTAATTATTGATGACAATTAAATAACAATTAAATTTTAAATGAAATCAAATGTTCGGGTATCCAAAACTACAAAATAATCTTAAAAATGGCTTAACGATTTTGATATTGAGAAACATTGACCAAATATATGGATTATGTAATGGTACACGATTAATCCTTGAATAGCTGTGAAAGAATGTTGTTGGTCGATTGTGGTTTTGAGAAATCGAGTCAGCAAAAAGTTTACATACTCCTAATGAAATTGATACCATCTGATCTAGGACTACTCTTGAAGTTATTTATAAGGCAAATATCAATAGTCTTATATTTTGCAATGACTATCAACAAAAGTTTAAGTTAAACATTGTCATTTCTTACATTACTTTTAACCAAGTTGGTATTCACTCATGGTCAACTTTATGTTATGGTTCCATGAGTGAATACAAAAACAAAATTAAAAATATTAGTTCTAGATGACAATGATACCCTTGCAATTATATCAAAAAAATTATATACTCTACAGTCTTTCAAAAAGTTTGGTATTAAAAAAAACTTGGTTGAATACACATTCAATTCCTCAAATATTGTTTATTCTACTTTGGAATTTTTGTATATACTATTAAAAATCATAGAGAAATATATTTTCTTTATTCTGAAAAAAATATTGCATTAAAAAAGTTTTAGAACCAATAAAAATTTTGTTCGACCTTGTGCAAAGTACTACGTAGTACTCCGTAGTAAAATAAAGAAACAAACGCGCTGAGTGCTTTCTTCCTTTCCGTGGCCGTAGCCATTGCCCCACTCAAATTCCACTGACGCACCCGACTCAGGGACTCACGCCATAAGGGGTGGTCTTCAAAATTCCACTGACGTCAAATCCAAAATTAAAATTTAAAACTAATTTCCTAAAGAAGCCATTATTAAAATTGGTAAAAATAACGGGCTAATTTATAAAGTGGTTTTGATACGGAGTATTCAAAAATTGTAGTGCGTGAAAATCAAAACGGACTTCGTTCGGTACTTCGGTGGAGCCGTTGGGGCGCCTAGCAGCGTAAATAAATAACCCTAACTCCGTCCCGGGCCAAATCCCTTTCAACTTCTGAGACTGCATCAAACCATGGAGCAATCCGTCAAACAACCAGCAGAACCCAACTCCGACATTGACGTCGTTGCTTCCAATTCCGCCGTCGAAATTCCGCCCGGATCGGCGATCGTCGTGGATGTGGAAACCACCACTTCGACGAAGCAAAACAACGTGAAGAAGAAGAACAAGAAGAAGAAGACTAAAAGGAGGTCAGTGACTCCTGAACCCTCCGTCCCTCGTTCTCCAACGGCTTCATCTTCATCGGCTTGTTTCTGTGCGAGGTCGATTGCTGGTTCGGACCAAAGAGGATTTAGGGTCTTCAATAGTCGCCGTAACCGTAGAGCCATTCTTGGGTCCACAAGGGATAAGGCTGACGTTGTTGATGCACTCGCTCTTCCTCTTGGCATGTCCATTGCAGCTGTATTTGCCCAGGTTTTTCTCCATAACTTGTATTCATAAAAGTGCAGTCCGAATAAATTTACACTAGTTGAGTATAATACCTCTGCATTTGTGATTCGTTAATTATGATAATGGGAAAGAATGAGGGTTTATTGTAAAATTTGAACTTTTGGGTTTGAAATATGTTACTTTGAGTCTTCAGAGAGACCGAAAGTTATGAAGGTTGTCTGAAATTCTAGTTGTAAAGAAATTTATCTTTAAAATGTTCGTGAGACATCAGTAGCTTTTTTATTTTGCAAAGTCTACACCAGTCTACTTGGAAATTGGAATCATCGCTCTGCCAAAAATGGAATCATAATGCCGAAAGTAAACCTACCATAAAATGAAATTTAGCTTGAGAATGCATATATCTGAATGTTCTAGCTGTCTCCTGTAACTGAATAATCTGCTCTTTCGTGCTTTTCACTCTATGAATTGCTTGAAACACCTTTACACTATGTTTGGTTCAAGGGATTTAAAAGGGAAAAGAAAGGACAAATGAGATGGAAAACACACTTTCATGTTTGGTTAGAGAGGAAAAGAAAAGAAAAGTGGAAAGAAAAAAATGAGTAGGCAAAATGTACTAAGAGGTGGGAAAACAAAATTCCTCCTATTTTCGGGAGGAAAATGAGAGAAAATCATTTTCTTTTCCTTTCCTTCTGAATTTCTAAAACAAACATAGTGTTAGGGATTTCATGGACAGAAAATGTTATTGGGAAACGCTAAAGTGTCACTAAGGGTTACCCTACCCTTTTTTTTCTCTCAGAGATATTCACATACATGACATGTCATGAGAACAAAAAAGGTGGGTGACCCTTGGGGACCCTATAGCAAGGTCCAATGTTATTAGGCAGTTTAAATTTACTCTCTTTTGCCACTTCAAATTGCTTAAATTTTCTTTTGGCGGATACTAAGCTAGACCTTGTAATCTAGATATACCAATGACGTACGATTTTTAATTTTATCAGAGAGTTTTGTAACATTGCCTATTTCCACTACATATACTCATTAATCAAATTGTAACATTTCCGGGGTTTTCCTCTCGAGATTGCTTGCATAAGAAATGCCCAAAACAAACACTAATCAATCAAATGAAAAGTGAAAACCAATAAAGAACACACAATGCGTGCTGGTTCTGCCTACCTCCATGCCTATTTCCAGTGTTCGAACAATGGTGCTTGAGATTTCAAAAAGTTAACCATGATTGAAAAACCTTTCACCTTGAGCACTTGAGTACAAAAGCCTCTTATCTTCCACCTAAGGACTTGCCTCAGGAATTTCTTCCCACTTGAACTGGAATCAATGAAGGGTTTATGAGGAATGCCTAAGAGATAGTTAAAGCCATATTCTTTACAAAAGTACAAAGACTTAAGATACTACCTATTTGTAGAGTCTTCTGTCTTGATGCCTTCACGAGCTTTTGTTCTTTTATGAACGATAATGACATCGTTGTTGCTCCTTGAAGCGTCAAATACTTGAGCATTGATCCTTGGTTGATCAAATGTTTGTCATCATCAAAACTCTTGATCCATACTAATTCCTTGAGGTATGTATCCCCAACACTAGGCGCCAACCACCAGGACAACAACATATTATGGAGTGTCTGAAGGGGGGAAGGGTGGATTGAAGCGAGTTTAGTTGGGATCTAAGTGAAATTATGCTATGCCTAAGCAGCAACAACCTTATGGTGTCTAGGTATAGATTCATCAAGGCTAGACAGGGATTTTGACAACAATGATACCGCTCACCCTTATCGAAATTTATTTTTCTTTTTTTCAATAATTTTTTAGGTGTTGGAAACGAAAGATGCAGCTATAGAAAATATGTCTGTGGATAATCTCGCTAAGGTATATTCTATGTTCTTCTTTCAAACAATTCTTGTATGAATTGATCAATTCATATTCAATTTCTTCGAGCACTACCGTGATTCCATGAACATTTTCTTATATATTACTCCCTCTGTCCCATAAAGAACTTCCCATTTTGACTTTCATGGAGCTTAAGAAAAGTGAAAAGTGTGTGGTTAATATTTGTCTGGATGAGATTTTTTTTTGTGACAAAAAGGGAAAGTATGAAGATTTTGTGGGACAGTTGGAGTATAAAATTCATCATATGTGCATGTTAATTGTGCAATTCCATAACTCTATTGATGAATTTTGTGGAATTTTCTTTCTCACAGTGTGACTATATTCCATTGTTTATTTTTTCTTTCAGATTTGTACTTCTGCTGTTCGGGTATCTTTGGTTAATGTAAGAGAGTCTAACAACTTCATCTGATTCACATGGACACAGTATTCTCTTTTACTCCGTGTTACAATTCCCATCTAATTTAAGCTTAGAATTTTGTACACTAATCTGTTTATCTGTTTGATACAGGCTTTTGGGGATCATTTTGAGTCTTTTATGAGGAACTTTGATAAATCACTTAGGAGTACCTTAATGACTTTGACATTAGTCAAAGAGTCTTCTATGAAGAATGGGCAACAAGAACCTCCAAGCAGGGTAACTTCTGTCCCTGAGGTGAATTTGCATTTTAAGGACAGATTAGAAGACTCTGCATGTGACTCTTCTGGGCTAGAGCATCCAAAACCTTCGCGCGGAGGATCTTCTATCTTAGAGGTTAATATGCATTTGCCCAGATTAGAAGATCCAGCATGCCATCCTGGTCTAAATGAGATTAACTTGGAGTCAACTTTACGGAGTATTAGTTTGGAACATAATCTAGATGAAATAAATGAAAATATGCTAGTGGAATCAATGAATCAGCTTACCCTTCGCGATGATGAAGAAATCCTTAAGCAGCTGTCATGTGTATCTTCCAACACTTATAACTATGCAATTACTAAGTCCAGGCAGAACACCTTAGAAAAAGCTGTATTAGAGCAGTCTAGATCAAATGATCTCAAGACTGTTGAGATTGGTCTAATGATTAAAAATTTGCAATTGCAAGAAAAAAAACTAGCTGTCAATTCTCAAGCTAATTTTTTGGAGAGATGCAAACTATCTTTGGGTTTCTCTAAGGTATCCATCAAAGCTGAGAAGTTTAAGACTGAATTAGAGGATGCAAGACATGATGAGCTGCTCAAAATATGTATTGACTGTCTCGTTGCTGGTCTTTTCATTATGGTGGGATGCCTTGGGTATGGAACATATGTTTATTCTCACGTAAGAATTACTGAAGCTACTGCAGCCTGCATACATCCCACTGTAAGGAATACTTTTTCTTGATTCTGTTGGGGCCTTGTCAGTTTTTAGTTTTTGGTTTATGATTTTTAAAGTTACACCAATACACATACTATAATAGACTGAAAATGCTTGTATTTATAGTTATTGTTCATTTCAAAAATTGCCAATATAACATGAATCCACTTTCTGCAGCTTCCAAATTTGATTTTTAGTTTTAAAAAATGAAAAATCAAAATTGCCAGCCAACCTGAACAGACATCAGATATTCCATTTAAGTTTGTAGATTCTTGCTTTTGAGCTCTGTGATTAACTGGTCTCCTACTCAAAGTTAGAAATTTTTTTTGTTATTGAGCCACTGTATGTTACTGGTGAAGTAGAGTGTTTCTTCTTCAAATACTACGCATAATGTGAAATTAATAGAAAAAAATGCTTTGTCTTTCTCTGACTTTTAGTGATATGCCTGTCTCTCAGCTTGGGTGAGAATCTAGATGAGAGCCTATGGGCACAGCTAGATGAGGACAATATTTCTCTTAAACTAATATAATATCATTTTTTTTCCAAACTTCAGGTATCAAAGTCTTGGTGGATGCCAAAGTCAATGCAATCCATGAATTCTGGACTGCAGACTCTGAAGTGCCAAGCTCAAGTTCTATCCCGGATGTTATTTGGGGTACTAATGATCCTAGCAGTTGCTTACTTGCTCTTCCAGCGTTCAGCCACTTCACATCATACCATGCCAGTTACATTCATACTGTTACTATTAGGAGCAGGTTGTGGCCTTGCCGGAAAGCTTTGCATCGATACATTGGGAGGCGATGGGTATCTGTGGCTAAAATATTGGGAGGCTATATGCTTATTGCATTTCTTTTCCAACTTCTTTAGATCAACCTTGTCAGCATTCCTCAATGGGCCTGTCGCCTCACAAGGAAATACCAAGAATGGTGGCTGTACCACCACGACCATCACCACTGCTCTTTTCCCATATTGGACGCGGAGAATTGTGTTTTATGTTACAATGCTCCTTCTTCTTCCAGTGTTGTGCGGTTTAATGCCTTTTGCCGGGCCTCGGGAATGGAAAGATCACTTTTCTTCACTGGTTGTGGACTCCCTTCTCTCCAGCATAGACGACTAGTAATGGAGCAAATCGTGCGGCCGTTACTCTCATGTTTATTATTATTATTATTATTATTATTATTATTATTATTATCTGTGTGATGTGCATGTAAATGCAGTGTTTGTAAAATTGAGATAAGCCTCTGCCTGCCCTGGCTTCGTTCAATGGTCTTCCTGATGATGATAGTGGTGCATTTTCTGGCGTTTTGGAGCTAGCTGTGTTGTAAATGTTAGTATTCATTTTGTAAATCTGGGCGAGCAGAACAGTCCATCCTAGAGTAAATACTGCCACCCCGAGTATTTATTAAAATTGTTACTATACATATGGTTTTATTGGTTCATTTAACTGATCCCATTGTTTTTGAACTAAAGTTTTTGAATAACAATACCCAATGAGATTCCAACTTTGTTGGGATTTGGACGGTCAGGATAGTTGTTTTATTTCTGTGAATTAACAGAAGTAAAAGCTTTGTTATGATTGCTCTTGTCAACAACAATATCTCGTGACGTTCCAACTTTGGGGTTTGGAAAGTCTAAATGACAAGATCCATTATATTTTAATTTCACTCATCATATCAAGGATAAAATTAAGTCAACCACAAATATACATTTTATTTCTCTCATTAGTCAAAATATAAACTGTTTTGATGAACGGAGAGAGTAATTTTTATGTATCGAGTAATAAAGTTTTTAATAAATACATAAATTTATTTTTTTAATTTTTACTTTCATTCTCAAATAAGTTGAATTAAAAATAAGAGTAAATTCTATAATTGGTCCTTTATAATAGGAGGGTTTCCCTATTTAATCCTCTATTATCAAATATTACCTCAGTGGTCCTTCTTTTATGGGTACCTTTCCACAAATATTCCTTTTTTTGAACTTCTATCATGTTGGTGTTAATTTGAAGGCTAAAAGTGTGATTTCACAATGATAATATATCTTTTTTGTCATACACAATTCCAAAGACTGTTCCGTTTGTGTCGTTTGTGAATTACAGTCGCTTTTTATGACAACGATAGTCTACAAATGTGATCTTTCGTCAGAATCCTATCCCACAATCATAGTTATTATTTTTGTGTTATCTGCTTAACCAATATCAGAACACGTCACTAGACATAGTGTTGATGTCAAATTATACTTTTAGGCTTTAAATTAACACTAACACGGCAGAAGATCAAAAAAAGGACCATTTGTGGAAAGGTACCCTTAAAAAAAGGACTACAGGAGTAATATTTGATAATAAAGGACTAAATATGGAAACCCTCCCTGTTATAAAGGACCAATTATAGAATTTAGTCTAAAAATAATTTCAGTAAAATATTGTAAATCAAAATGAGCTGTTCAATTTGGGATGGAGTAACTATTAGCGTGGGGTATATCATACTACCTCCGTTTCTCAAAAGAGTTCCTCTTTTGACTTTGGGGAAAATAAGGAAGTGTTAAATTGTAGTTGACTTTCCAATTTTGCCCTTGATGTGATGGGTAAAAGTAAGATGTGATAGTTTAGTTGTTAGTGAAAAAGTATGATGTGATAGGTAGGGTATGAAAAAGTAGGGGTAAAAGTGGTTTTTTAATAGAAAGGGGAAGTGTTTTAAGAAAAACAAAAAAATGAAAGAGGAAGGGTTTTAAGAAACGGAGGGAGTATATGAATACCTCTCACTTTCACGAGTAGATGTCTGGTGGTAAGGCTTCTAAAGCTTGAACGCGTCAAATCTAGCAAGAAGTTGTGAGTGTCCGCATGGGTAGCTCAACTGGTTCAAGGAGAAGATGTCAAATCCGTTGATTCTATGGTTGAATCCCGACAACGCCAGTGTGAGAGTTCTATTATTTATAATAGAACTCCTTGTGCGCACCGGGCACGAAGCGGTCTCTTTAAAGATTAGATTGAGATTAAAATATGATTTACTTCTTCACAATCATGTCGGGTCGAGTTGTGGGGCGCCCCGAGTGGACGGTCCACCTTTAAAAGAAGTTGTGAGATGTTGAATAATTCGAAGTTGTGGTGAGATGTTGAACAATTAGTTTAGACTAGAGGAGTTTTTGATTGTGGCGGTACGTTGTAAACTTGTAACTAATGCAAAAAAAAATCACATTTTATAATTCAAAAATATAAGAAACTAAAATAGTGGAATATATTTTTGTTCATCTATCTATATATTATTTAAAAAGCCGTGAATTTGCAATGGCTTTTTCCCGCTCATTTCGTGGTACATATAATTTGGTAATTCTTAACCCCACATGGTAATTAGTAATGACAAACTTAAATGGTCTTAACCACATATGGTAAGATCACATATAAATATGGTATATTTATACATTATCACACGACATTAAGTTCCCGAAATTAATACACGGTATTAATAAACTGTTATTACTATTTATAATTTTATTTTAATATTATTAAAAAGGAAATAAAATATTATTAAAAACGAAATTATGTTCAAAACACGGTATTAATAAACTGTTATAAAACTTTATAATTTTATTTTAATATTAATAAATAGGAAATAAAATATTATTAAAAACGAAATTATGTTCAAAACTTTCCATTATTATACTTATTTAATACGTGGTACCAATACATGGTATTAATACACAGTATTAATACACGGTATTTTAATTTAGGAAATTATTAAAAACGAAATTATGTAATTTTAATTTATTAATACACGGTATTGTAATAGGTAATATGTAATAAAACTTTCCATATATTAAAAACGAAATTATGTTCAAAACTTTAATACACAGTATTAGGTAATATGTAATAAAACGAAATTATTAAATTACACGTTATATTATTAAAAATGACATTAATGCACAGTATTAGGTAATAGGTAATAAAATTTTATAATTTTAATATTACTAAAAAGAAAATAAATCTCGGTATTATAATAGGTAAAATATTATTAAAAACGAAATTATGTTCAAAACTTTCCATTATTAAAAAGTAAATCAAGCACGGTATTATAATAGGTAAAATATTATTAAAAATGAAATTATGTTCAAAACTTTTCATTATTAAAAAGGAAATCAAGCACGGTATTATAATAGGTAAAATATTATTAAAAACGAAATTATGTTCAAAACTTTCCAATATTAAAATTATTAATATATACAGTATTAAAAAGGAAATATATCACGGTATTATATTATATTATAATAGGTAATATGTAATAAAACGTTCCATATATTAATACACAGTATTAATGCACGGTACATTGTAATTACCACAATTTCATACGCTAACTTACCGTGGATAGTATAAATACGCTACCTTACCGTCCCAGAAAATTAAACTTTCCAATATTAAAATTATTAATGCACAGTATTAGGTAATAGGTAATAAAATTTTATAATTTTAATATTACTAAAAAGGAAATAAATCACGGTATTATAATAGGTAAAATATTATTAAAAACGAAATTATGTTCAAAATTTTCCATTATTAAAAAGTAAATCAAGCACGGTATTATAATAGGTAAAATATTATTAAAAACGAAATTATGTTCAAAACTTTCCATTATTATACTTATTTAATACGTGGTACCAATACATGGTATTAATACACAATATTAATACACGGTATTTTAATTTAGGAAATTATTAAAAACGAAATTATGTAATTTTAATTTATTAATACACGGTATTGTAATAGGTAATATGTAATAAAACTTTCCATATATTAAAAACGAAATTATGTTCAAAACTTTAATACACATTATTAGGTAATAGGTAATATGTAATAAAACGAAATTATTAAATTACACGTTATATTATTAAAAATGACATTATGTTCAAAACTTTCCAATATTAAAATTATTAATGCACAGTATTAGGTAATAGGTAATAGGTAATAAAATTTTATAATTTTAATATTACTAAAAAGGAAATAAATCCCGGTATTATAATAGGTAAAATATTATTAAAAACGAAATTATGTTCAAAACTTTCCATTATTAAAAAGGAAATCAAGCGCGGTATTATAATAGCTAAAATAAGGGTGGGGGGTTTAGGGGGTGGGTTAGGGGGGTAGGAATCGTCAATTTTGCAAACGGAGCACCGGAGGTGCCCCAAAATGCCGGTGGCACCGGATTCCAGTGGCACTGGAACCGGGCCGATTTATTTAAATGGTACAGGTTTTAAACGGACTGGGACTACTCATCATATACCCGACCTTTATTTTCTTAAAATAACGGATATGAGTTTGGGTATGGGTTAACAATATTTTTATACTCTTAAACCCGCTAAAAAATTGCAGGTATTATACGGGTTCAGGTCTATACCCGACCCATTAACATGCCTAAGTACAGAGTAAGGGTCTCTTTCATACTGGTACAATTTATTTTTTCTATTTATTTTTCATCAAACCAGGAGCCAAACGACACCCCGGGCCAATGAGAAGAGGTCTCTCCCGAGTCTATGGGCTCTAACTCGATCATGGAAGCTAAATTCGACGAATCGGATTGGAAATCAGGGTTGGTCTCAGAGCCAGAGTTTAACCCAGCTGGAAGCTCCATCTCGTAATCGGGATCGGACAAGCTATTGGAGGTGGAGACGGAGAGCGACATGACTCGTAGAAATATGAGAGAGCAAAAAAGATGAAGGCAAAAGATGGTTGGGTGGAATGAGGACACCCCGTTCTTATATAGAAAACAGCAGCATTGGAAGGGTAAAAGGTTAGAAAAACGAAACGCCAACAGTGAGAAAATCGATAGTCAAAGAACACCTATCGATTACCTACCGATCAACTATTAGGTAACGCAGGGAAGGTGAACAAGGGATTCCCAAACTAGCTACTCAGCTAGAGTCATCAAGTTGAAAGATAAGAATCAAGAAAAAGAAGAGCACATCAACAAGATTGAACGAACACATCAATAAATAGAAAAAGTAAGCATAAAGATAAGCCCGGGGGCAATTTTGTTCGTCGGAGATCAACCAAAAATAATGTTTTACGTAAAAATTAGCCTGGGGGCATAATTCTACAAAGAAAATTCATATCCCTTCGAAGAGGGGTTCGGGTGCTTCCTCCTGCGGGCCGGGGAGGGTAAGCATCTTCGGGTTGAACCTGTGGATGACCTGCTCCAATATCTTATACATACCCTTCCGCTCATTGTACTTGCCGCATTCGTAACCATAGATCATGATCTTATTGGCGATTTTCTGCTCACTTCATTCTTGTAGAGGCCTTGGAAGATACGAACTCCCATCTCTCGGTCAGGAAGGCCTTGCACAGCAAATTCCTGAGGGTGCTCCACTGCCGAGATAGGTGCATAGACTTGCTAGTTCTTACATTCAGCCTCTTGCTCGCCCTTAAGCCGATCGACGAATCGGGTTGGAAATCAGTGGTCGGTGTCGAAGCCAGAATTTAACCCGGCTGGAAGCTCCATCTCGTAATATGGATCGGACAAGCAATTGGAGGTGGAGACGGAGAGCGACATAACTCGTAGAAATAAGAGAGCGCAAAAAAGATGAAGGCAAAAGATGGTGGGGTGGACTGAGGACACCCCTTTCTTATATAGGAAACAGCAGCCTTGGGAGGGTAAACGGTTTGAAAAACGGAACGCCAACAGTGAGAAAATCGATAGTTAAAGAACACCTATCGATTACCTACTGATCATATCACGTAAGCCGATCAACTCTTAGGTAACGCAGGGAAGGTGAACAAGGGATGCCCAAACCAGCGGCAGCTAGAGTCATCAAGTTGAAAGACAAGAATCAAGCAAAAGAAGAGCACATCAACAAGATTGAACGAACACATCAATAAATAGAAAAAGTAAGCATAAAGATAAGCCCGGGGGCAATTTTTATGTCGGAGATCAACCAAAAATAATGTTTTACGTAAAAATGAGCCCAAGGGCATAATTCTACAAACAAAATTCATATCCCTTCAAAGAGGGATTCAGGTGCTTCCTCATGCGGGCCGGGGAGGGTAAGCGTCTTCGGGTTGAACCTGTGGATGACCTGCTCCAATATCTTATACATACCCTTCCGCTCATTGAACTTGCCGCATTCATAACCATAGATCATGATCTTATTGGCGATCTTCTCCTCACTTCATGCTTGTAGAGGCCTTGGAAGATGCGAACTCCCATCTCTAAGTCAGGAAGGCCTTGCAAGGCAAATTCCTGAGGGTGCTCCACTGCCCAAGTAGCTGCATAGGCTGGCTGGTTCTTACATTCGGCCTCTTGCTCGGTCTTAAGCCGATCGACTTCAATCTTCAGGTCTCCGTTGTCAATGATTAAATATAAATTACCATTTACGGAGTAATTAAATCACATTGCTTTATTTAAAGTTACATGCACCTAAATAATTTTTAATATTATAATTTTAAATATGATTAATGATACACATAATAATACTAATATGGGACATATGGAGTATTATTATTAGTATTAAGATTTTATGTGATGTGAAATTTCTAGCATGTTATATATAATTATGTAACGTATATAATTTGGAATTCAAGTAGTATAAGTGAAGGGAATATTAGTATTAATATTTTATGTGATGTGAAATTTGTAGCATGTTATATATAATTAAAAGAGTGTAATATTTTTGTCGCATAACATCCATATTTTCTAATGATTGGTTTTTTTAATACTGATTAATAATACACTCTTCTTGAAATAGCCTATCTACTTTCAAGTATGGCAAAGGTCTGCATACACACAACAACCCAGACCGTACTTCCATGGATTATACTAGGTTTTTGTTGCTCTTATTGTAATAATACACTCTCTTTACTATATATAGAAGAACTAATCATTTTTTCATTGAGATTAAATAAACTATAGTGATACTGAAAAGATATTAAATATTACAAAGTAAGTGGTTAAGTTTATCAATGATATTTTTATTTTACTTCTTCAATGTATATAGAATTGTCATATTTTCAAATTTTTTAAATTATTGTAATAATTTTATGTTTAATTTGAATAAAGTTTAAATTTAATTACACAAGATCAAATTTAATCAAATCATATTAGACCAAATCTTATCAGATTGGAACTTCTTAATTTTAAATCAGAATTCAATTATATCAAGTATACGGAACAAAGCCTAAGTTTAAAAAGACATGAGTGCTACTAGTGTCATTAACTTATGTTGGAATGCATGAGTTCAACCGTTTTTGTACAGTTAAGTGTTGACTCACAGGTTTTGATAATTGTCAAACACAAGCAGTGGCGGATCCAGAAAAAAATTTCACCGGGGGCACCTTCGACTCTCTCAAGCTACATTACCTGAAACATTGGGGATTTAGGATGAGCGCCTCTGAATTTTTCAAATTCAATTTAAATGACAAAAAAAGTATGCTAAAATTAACATCATATTTGACTTTTCTTCGTTTTCAATATAACACTTTGACTATTAGTATCTTTATTTATATATAAATATATATTATAAGAATAAAATATTTCAAAAAAATGTTTTAAAATAAATTTATTGATATTAAATTTATATGAAGTTTTAATGAATTTTTCTATGATATATGGTCAAAGTTCAAATAGTTTGATCATAAAAGTCAAATTAGAAAGTTAATTTTAGAATGCAGGAAGTACTTAGATAATCATTTGTTTTTTTATATTAAAAAAAATTTAAAAATAATGTGAGAACATCCACAAAAATAATATATATGTACCCCAAGTATACCAAAGAAGCACTCTAATATGTTAAGAGCATTACTTTTTCTCTTTTTCCACACAAAACAATTTCATTCCACATTGATACAATATTTTAGAAAATAATACACAATCAAATCAACAATTCACATGAATAAATAAATTTATAAACACGTCATAAAAACTTTACTTAATACATAATGATTAAATTAATTAAAAGTATAAAAAGAATTTTCTGAAGTGGAGATTATAGTTGGGTCAGATGACGCAAGGCTTTTTCATAGAAGTGAAGGATTGCGATGGACATGTTAGTATTAGACAAATTAATAAAGAAATTGAAAGTGATGAAGAAGATTAAATTTGTTTTGCAGAATTGTCGCATGGCTATATTGCTACTGAATCAAGAATTGGAAAAAGAAATTAGAAAATATATAGATATTCTAAATTTTGGGCTTATTCTTAAAGATTGAACTACTTATATTTTTAAAATTAATCTATTGGGGGCATATCTTATTTGCACTGGGGGCACAAACCAAATTCTACCCAAGTTTTTTTATTTCTTTTGCAAATTATTTTGGTTGATAACATTTCACTGGGGGCATATGCCCCCCATGCTATAGCTGTGGATCCGCCCATGAACACAAGTTATTTAAGTCAAGAATAAAGTGCTACATTGACAAAAAGAAAGCCTTGGAGTGCCAAATCTCTTGAAGTATTCAAGAAGGAGCACAGAATTTAATGAAGACCAAGACGCCTAACGGAGCGCCTAACGGTAGTGAAGAAGAAGATTTTTGAAGACTTTTAATTTATTTGTCTTCGGAAAGATTGTAAGGATGACAAAAATATTCTTCACTCCAAAATTCTTTTTATGAAAGTTATATAAAAATAATATTTATTTTTGGAGTCAGTTGAAGAATTCCTTTTAACTGTTCAAAAATGCTTTTATTGAGTCAGTTGCAAAAGGTGTGTTAAAAATTTTTCAAAAAACTTATTTTGATATTAGAAAATATTTCTGGTAAACAAAAATATTTTATTCAAATATTTTTTGACATCGTTTGACACACAAAATATTTTTGTTGGGTGCCAATTTTGTTGGAATGCATGAGTTCAACCCTTTCTGTGTTGTTTAGTGTTGACTCACAGGTTTTTGATAATTGACAAACACAATTTATTCAAGTCAAGATTAAAGTGCTACAACGACAATTACGAAGACTTGAAGTGCCATTCCTTGAAATATTCAAGAAGGTGCACAGGATTTTGTTGAAGTTCGAGACGCGTTCGGAGCGCCTAACGGAGGACTCGGAGGAGTAGAAGATTTCCGAAGACTTTTTATTTATTTGAGTCTTAGGAATTATTGTAAGGATGACAAAAATATCTTCTCTCCAAAATTACTTTTATGAGAGTTAAAATAAAAATTATATTTATTTTTGGAGTCAGTTGAAAAATCCTTTTAACTGTTCAAAATACATTTATTGAGTCAGTTACAAAAAGTGTGTCAAACATTTATCAAAATATTTATTTTGATATTAGAAAATATTTTTGGAAAGCAAAAATATTTTATTCAAATATTTTTCGTGTACTTGGGTTGGCACACAAAATAATTTTTGGACTCACTTTTACTCCCTTATTCAAATTCATTGAATAAGAGGAGGAGCATTCTCTGATTCCCGTTGTCTCAAACAACGGGTGTTACGCCAATTCTGCTCTCCATCGCAACTGGCTTGGGCCGATTAACCTTCGTTCGCATTCCATTAATCGATTATTCCTCTTGTTTTAATCGATTAGTCCTCTCAGAGCCTTCTAATCGATTAATCCCTTTGCATTAATCGATTATTTCCGCGTTGAAGGAACTCTGCGTAGACTGCATTAATCGATTATTTACACTGCATTAATCGATTATTATGCTGCATTTTTCATCACAGCTTCTTTTCTTGGACCAACGGATATATTCCTTCAACCCCTTTATAAACCCCACTCCTTGTCATTTTTACAATAAACAAGCACTCCTAAAATCCCCAATCTTGAGGTTATAATCCTCCATTCATTTCTTCCACAAATTGATATATTTTGAGAGAAAACTAAGTGTTTTCAAGAGAGTGTTCTTGTCATCCATAGAGCTTAATCTTTTCTCATTTCTACTCTTGTGAGAGTTATTGCTGAGAGGTTGAAGAAGATTGTTCTTCTTGTTGTTCAAGGCTTATGTGATTTAAGTCTTGGTTGTGAAGTCTTGTAGAGGGCATATCTACGAGCGATTGTGTCGAGGCTTGTGGGATTCAAGTTCTCGAGTTGTAAACGGTTTGTTAAGCACCCGTAAGCTTAACGAAAGTAGTGGTAGCTTCGAGAGAGTCTCTCGGGGAACTGGACTAGCCACGAGGTGGTGAACCAGTATACATCGGTGTGTTCTTTGCCTTCTCTCTTTTATTTCCGCTGCACTTACGTTTATATTATTAATCCTGTGAAAATCGGTAATCATTCTCAACAACTCTATTCACCCCCCCTCTAGAGTTGCACGCATTGTCTAACAATTGGTATCAGAGCGGGTATCTCTAACGCTCCTTGTGACGTTTGAGAAAACGATCAAATTTTTTTTGAGAATGTTGAACGCAGGGATAGGAGAAGGGCAATCCACCGTAAGGCCGCCATTTTTTGATGGAACGAATTACTCCTATTGGAAGGAGCGTAAGAGAATTTTTGTTCAATCTAATAACTTCAAAATTTGGCTTGCTATCAAGAATGGAGATAGCTTGCCAATGAAGAAGATAGGCGATACACTCATCCCGAAGGACGAGGATGAATATGATGAAGCCGATCTTAAGAAGGCTCAATTAAATGCCACCGCCATCAACTTCTTGTATTGTGCTGTCAATGCCAACGATTATCAAAAGATATCTCGTTGCCAAACCGCCAATCAAATGTGGAACAAGCTCATGATCACATACGAAGGTACGCCTCAAGTTCGTGAATCAAAAATTGATTTACTAACCGATGAATATGAGTTATTTGCTATGAAAGAGAACGAACTTGTGGAGGACATGTTTGGAAGATTTTCAAACATCGTCAACGACCTTGATATGCTTGGAAAGACGCTCACCGACAAAGAGTTAGTGAGGAAAATCCTGCGAAGTCTAACCAAGGAATGGGAGTCGAAGGTTAACTCCATTTACGAAGGCCGAGATTACAACGTCATCACATACGACGGTCTTCGAGGTAACCTTATCACTTACGAAACAAATCATCTTTCTCATACTCTTGACGTTAAGAAGAGAACGGGAATTGCTTTTAAAGCATCTTCTTCTCAAAAAGTAGAGATCGATGATTCGGATTCGGATAGTGATAGTGATTCTAGCACTTCTTGTGATATTTTGGTTGAATGTTTTAATGAGTTTATGAAACATGAGCTTAATAAGAGCAAGAGGAAAAACACCCCAAGGTGTCACACGGTCACACTGATAATCGATTATCAAAAGTCTGATAATCGACTATCAAACCTCTCTGAAAAATCTGGGTTTGCAATGAAACCATGATAATCGATTGTCAATATGTGAAAATCAATTATGGGATGGTTCTGAACTAAGAGTTCAAAAACTGCAGGGGCTGATAATCGATTGTTGAAGAGTGACAATCGATTATCACTCAGCCAAGACCCAGCTAGCGAAAACCCAACTTGAAAAACCGAGGTCCAAAAACGAAGTGTTCCCAAAAGTAAAAACCAAGGTTGAAAAGCATTGTATGTGGTATAAAATAGAGAAACCAAGACTTGTTTATTAAAAACCAAGTCTTCGAGGTCGTAAGTCACGTGTTGACCGCTTTGACCAATTTTCACGGGTTTAGACTGATTGACCATCATACACAAGTGGTTTTTTATAAAACGGTTGTTTGGGAACCTTTTAAATATGCCCAGATATAAAAACCAAGTATAAAATATTGAAAACAACTAGATTGGTCCGGACGCCAAAAACCAAATGCCGAATGACGAATGATATGGTTTTGGTTTGGGAAAAGACTAGGGGTTTTTATAACTTTGAAAAACTTACAGAAAATGTATATTTGATGCATAAAAACGTTTCATGATTTTATAAGAATATTTTGACTCTTAGAGAACCAAGACTTGATTTGATTGTCAGTTTTTTATCACAATGAAGTCGACTCAAGTAAGTCTTCAAATCTTGATCTTGTCCTTGAGTCTCTTGGTCTTGTTCCATGCCTTACTTCACGCCTTGAGTTATTCAACGAAACTCTTCATATCCACGGCGGTTTGGAAATTATCAAAACCTGTCAGAAACGAACACGACTTTAGTTCAACGCAATATAAAGTGTGTTCCAACACTAATTTGGTTACACGTCGTTTGTTCGACTCGTACTAACATCAGTATCGATGAAGTAACTGTTTGAGGCACCGTCGCTTCATTGTACTAACTACGATCTTGTCGAAATAACTAACATCGCTCTCTGTTGGAACACGAGTTTATGCCTACGTCGTACTAAACCATGTTCGTTTTATGACAGGTTTTGATAATGCCAAACCTCCGTGACAACAAACACTAAATTGAGAAAATCAAAGGCGAAGGAACATGGCATGATGATTTGAGAACCAAGAACCAAGAACCAAGAATCAAGAATGAAGATTTAGAATTGTATTGAGTCGGTCTTAATGTGATCAAGACCGGCACAAACTTTCAAAACTTGGCTCTCTAGGCTCATTTCATCAAAATACTTTTTGCATATTCAAAAATGTCTTTCTTAAGTTTTAAACACACCTAAAAACACTTGGAGTTTGCCCAAACCAAAAACCAAGCCATCCGGCGTTCGGCTTTCGGTTATCGGCGTTGGCTTTTAGCATCCGAACCAACCAAGTGGTTTTCAACTTTTAATGATTGGTTTTTACTTCTGGGCATATTTAAATAGTTCTCCAACAACAACGCTTCAAAAACCACCTTTCGTTTTTGGTCGTTTAGTGAAAACCATGCGAAACGGCGTAAACTTGGCTAGCCGTGGTTTTCAATTAAATGACGTGGTTTTTAAGATGTTTTACTTGATTTCTTAGCAAAATGCATTAAACAAACTTTTTCAATACTTGGTTTTAACTTTGGAGAACTTAGAATTTTGACATCGGCTAGCCATTTCTTTCACTTTCAAAGTCAGGCCTAAACAGCGATGTTCAAGTAATGAACATCGATGTAGGCACCTGACCGTTGGAAGGAATTTAAGGCTAAAACTTTCCTTGTTCGGAAGTCAACAGCCAAAACAGCAATTTAGGGGTTTTGGACATTGTTGTTGGCATGACCGTTGCTTCCCAATTTTCAAAAACCAAACCTAGAACAGCGATGTCCAAGTCTAGGAGAGCGCTGTCTGGGTGAATTTCAGCAGATCCAATTTTAATCAAATCCCACAAATTGTGCCAATCACCCCTTAAATGTTTTGATCCGTTGGAGCCTATTTTTCCACTATAAAATGGGGTTTTTGGGTATGTTTTATATATCACATTACTTTACAACTCCTACTCTTTCATTGCATATTATTCATACATTATTCATAGCTTTTCGAGAGCCATTTTTGTGAAGCTTGTGTTGTGTTCTTGAGCGTTCTTAGTTACTCATCATCCACTCTAAAAGAGAGTATTGTTCTTGAGTGCTTTTAGTGTTCTTAGACACTTGGCAAGAGAAAATATTTCTCTTGTTGTTCGAAGGAAGGATTGTTTCCTTCGAAGGTTCATTGAGGTTCGTGTGACTCGAACTCTCAAGTTGTACGGGTTTGTTAAGCACCGTTAAGCTTAACAAGATAGTAGTGTAGCGGGAGGCTGGATTAGCCACAAGTTGTGGTGAACCAGGGTAAAATCGGTGTGCCTCTTACTCTTCTCTTCACTTCTCTTTTATTTATTTTTAATTCCTGCGATTTCTCGATCAAATGCTATTCACCCCCCTCTAGCGTTGGTTTATTATTCTAACACGCTCACGTTACGAGGATTATACACACACATTTTTTCTATTCTAGCATTGAGCTCCTCGAAGAAAAATTAATTATTGTGTTTGAGCACGGCACTGGCCGGTCAAAATGTTGTACATATTATTTTTGTAAGAAAACATCTAATTTAAAATCAGAGAAACAATGAAGAACTCGAAGGACTGACAA